CACATCTTTTAAATAACTCCAGTGATCCCCGTCCTCATCCATGGTCTCTGGTGGACGGTTATCTCCATTCCTAGCCATTTGATCAAAGATGGTGTTACTAAAATGACAAATCGTCAACTGAGAGAGAAAAGATGTTTTACTGCTAGAAATCTCTCTGAAAATACTGCTCGAAGAGAAACTATTTTATTCTGGCAAAGCCCCAGAAGGCCAGGATTATACCTCATGTGAGGGCTGTCGACAATCCACACAGACTGCCACAGCAGTTCCCAGGTCACCAAGAGCTGGTAATTGACACAGATTTTTTGCACATATAAAAAAATCATATTTCTAATTTAAAAAGATATTTAGACAAAATGTCATCAGATACTTTCTACTGAAAATTGGTGGGCAAGACCAAATTTACATTACAGTATGATTTATGATGGCAAATCTTCCATTATGCCTATTGCTGAAGGAGAAATAAACTTATTTCATGGCAAGATTTGGCCTGAGTCCTAGATCTTCTTCACATTTTAGCAGTATTGCTACATCAGCAAAACTCTACAAGGGTGCACACAGCCTCAAAATCCTTACAGGTCCGTGAGAGTCATAACCACTGCATCCTCAAGCAGTCAGAACAAAGAGCCTGTCAGAAATCAACTCCTGGTCTGCACAAGGCTACTTAACAACTGTCTAGCTTAGACTGAGGCATCATATCACCTAATATTTTCAAGAACCAGACACTGCGGTCTGGGAGTCTGTCCAGGAGGAGGAAGGAGGGTGGCACTTCTTCACCTGGGACAGGTTCCTATGGGGACAGCAGCAGGTTCTTATACAGCTTTGTCAGTTATGAAGCCAACAGAACCAGAAGCTGAGGTTCACCTGTTGCGTGGGCTAACTCAGTGCTGCAATGCTGGATTTGTTTTGATGCAAACCTGTCCTTTGAAGGTACTGTCTCCTGGTGGAGCTTCCTTTTGTTAACTCAGCTCTCCCCACTCTTAGTGCAGGGCTGTGCCTTCACAGCTGCCTTAAGTTCTCTGATTGCAACCACTGCCCATCTCATGGTGTCTTTAGTGTGACGGCAAAGTTGATGCTGCTGTTACTCTGGCAGACATGAACTGCGTGCTATCAGAAGCAACTCACTTGATGGGGAAGAAGAGTGCAGCAGAGCAAAACCCCATTTACACGGATGGACGACAGGTTAACCATGAGCCAGCAGTGTGCCCTGGCTGCCAAGAAGGCCAATGGCATTCTGGGATGTATCAAGAGGAGTGTGGCCAGCAGGTTGAGGGAGGTTCTCCTTCCCCCCTACACTGCCCTAGTGAGGCCTCATTTGGAGTACTCCGTCCAGTTCTGGGCTCCCCAGTTCAAGAAAGATGAGGAGCTACTGGAGAGAGTCCAGCGGAGGGCTACCAGGATGGTGAGGGGACTGGAACATCTCCCCTGCGAGATGAGGCTGAAGGAGCTGGGCTTGTTCAGCCTGAAGAAGAGAAGGCTGAGAGGGGACCTAATATATACTTACAAATATCTGAAGGGTGGGTGTCAGGAGGATGGGGCCAAGCTCTTTTCAGTAGTGCCCAGCGACAGGACAAGGGGCAATGGGCACAAACTGAGGCACAGGAAGTTCCGTCTGAACATGAGGAAGAACTTCTTCCCTCTGAGGGTGACGGAGCACTGCAACAGGCTGCCCAGGGAGGTGGTGGAGTCTCCTTCTCTGGAGATATTCAAGACCCGCCTGGACAAGGTCCTGTGCAGCCTGCTGTAGGTGACCCTGCTTTGGCAGGAGGGTTGGACTAGGTGACCCACAGAGGTCCCTTCCAACCCCTACCATTTTGTGATTTTGTGATACACGGGCACATCGCTAGGAAAAGGCATGGGATGGTCACCGAGTGTGCAGCCCAGAAGCTGGAACATGAGGCAGCTCTGAAAGTTTCCTTAAGAAATGTGTTTATGGCAGGCAGGAGGCGGTTATTGCGGGGAGCTCCTATCTGAGCAAACTCTTCTCAGTCAGGAAATACTTCGGGGCAGCTCAGCTTTCCCTCAGTGACATGAGGGTACGGGGACTAGCCCTCTCTGCCTGGCATTATGGTGACATGGCGTGTCAATGATGTCAGTATTTGCACTTACACAGATAACACCATCTAATGAATCACTCCACCAGAAATGCTGCTGCTGTCGGATGTCCAGCTGCTTAATGTGTTTCCTTAGGAACAGAGTGTAGGCAGTCGTACTAAATTCCACCCCTGAGCTGTAAGAGAAAATCCTATCCATCCACCCAAGACCTAAGGTTTGGACTAATCTACGACAAAAACTCTTTCCTGTTCATTTACTGTTGAGGAGCAGCCTGAATACCCTGACCCAGAGGCAGAGAAGAATGCGCACAATTACTTCCCCTATTGCATGGGGAGATACAGAGAAGACAAAAGCTGAACTTCACCCCTGTGCTGAAGGTCTGGAGAAGACTCACATAAGCAAAATGTCTCTGAGTCAGAATGATTCAGTCAACAAGGTAAACAGCAAATTCCTCATGGCCGGGGGGTGGGGGGGAAGCAAAAGCTATTTTGTTTCCTGATTAACCAAGTTATCCAGTTAACTACATCAGATGTAGTCATGCATTCTGTGCTTTCAGTACTCCTTCCTACTCTACCACCACACAAAATTGCTGCAGACCCAGTCTACAGCTGATGAGATTACTGAGGCGTGAATTCATGCACCAATTATGAAACTAGAAGTCAAGCACTCCTGTCCTCTGACTTCTACACTGATATCTATGACCCTGGGAAATTCTTCTGGGTTTTGATAACTTTATAACAACCCGGCTGGAATATTTACTCATCTGCCAGAGGAACAGAGTGTGTTAAAAGCTGACTGTAATTGCTCCTGTATTTCTTGGTACACAGAGGCTTTCCCAACATGAGTAGAAGACATTGTGACTGAAATTGGTTTAATATGTAAAAATAAGAAACGCTGCTTACAGATAACACACCAAACCTGTTATTCTCCCATTCACAGATATTTATCCTTGGCAATTGTCAGAAAAGTGCAAAAATTACTCCCACAGTATGATTTTACCCAAGACACTCACTCTAAGCTCACTGCGTTCTGCCACATTATACTTGTTATCACTTCAAATCAGCTATTCTGTACTCCAAGTGGCATGAAAAATTTTTCTCTATATAACACTTCCTGTTGCATTCATGCTTTTCCTATAGTCTCAACACAGACTTCCTTACAGAAATCTTGTAACTTGGTTCCTCTTTCAGCCGTCCCACAGTGAGTCTTGCTACCAGAAAGACTATCAGCATCATTTTGATGTTGTCTCTGTTGTCCACCTGATACACCCTACACACTCATTTCTAATGAACGTGGAAACCAGCATCTGAGCGCACTTTTGATACATGCTAGTTCAAAAGAACCACAATTCTAACTCTTATTCACTCCTACCCATCCATAAAGGTATTGCAAGCACTGTGCGTGAGGACAGTCTGGATCTGGAGAAGACAGGCTGTTGAGTCAACAGCGTTACACAGGTTTAAGCAGGAGATGATGGTTTTGCTTTCAACACTAGGGCAGGAGACGGACCTTTGGAAGGTGAAGTGCACAAAAAATGTAACAGTTCTGTTACAGAAGGGTTAGTTCCTGAATGTATCTATGCCACCTTCAGCATCCAATGCATTCACAACGAAGGGAACATGCTGTATGAAGTGACATATACACACACTGTGCCATTTGACGGCTTTCGACATAGAGCAGCTGAAGAAACTAGCGCAGATGTGACAGATCAGGAAACGGCACCAACGTCGGCTCAACGCATCTACCTCTCGAAGCTCGAGGGTCACGAAGCATAGCTGGCGCAGGACCGACGTTTCACAGGCTGCCGCTCTACAGCCAAGACGAGC